TTCCATGCTCTTCACCAACACAACAATTCAATTCCTTATTTACCATCCATCTTTCAGATGCTTCAGAAGCAACTGGCGGAGAGAACTGTTTAAAAGCAGTATACGACAGGGTATTATGGTTATGACAGGAGTCCAGAATGAAGGTTGCATAGTGGAGTGTACATGGGGCTGGAGGGGGAGAGATTCTATACCAATGAAATAATTTTTCTTTTACTTTTCAAAGAAAAGAGGTAACTGGGAAGAGGGGTGGGTGGGGAGAAAAATGTAACAATGAATGTATGGAAATCCTAAATCTCTGTAAACGTTCATTAAAATGAATTTTTAAAAATAAATAAAAAAGCAAAAGTGGGTGGAAGAAGCAACCGGCAAAACCCTAAGAAGCTGCACTGCCAACCCAAAGCCTTTGTGGAGGTTTGAATCTATCAAGAAAGAAAGATGGACCAAAGACAGGCAAGCTAATCATTTGTGAAAACTCACTGGAGGGTCAGCAAGTAGCCAGTTTCAAATAAAAGACAATGAGTCTGGGAGCTTCTGTTTCAAAGCACCTATTAAGTGCCAGGTCCCACATTAAGCACTTTGGGATTCTGTAAGTCAGAACCCTCAGAACGCTACTGAGGAGTATAACCTCTATTTTAACCAGAGAGCTCTGGTGGCTTAATGGGAAGGAGCTGCCCTGTCAATGGAAGGCATGGGGTCCAAATTCACCGGCTGCCGTGTGGGACAAAGCTGGACAATCGCCCCTGAGATTTAACTGTGTCTGAAAATCCACAGGAGAGTCAGTTATGAGCGGATTCCATCTCAAATGATACATAACAACAACATTTTAACTATTTAGAAACAAAGTAAGAACTCAGAGTACCTAAGTAACTAACTACACACAGTAGTGGCGAAGGCAGGCATTGAACCTTGCTTTATTCAATGTCAATCTCATTCTTTTTCTGGAGACTTTACCGAAACAAACTCAGCAAAGTTTCCCCTTTTTGAATACGCATTTAAATGTATGCCATCATTTTAAGAGGAGCTTTTATTAAACGTGACTTCATAAACAAATAGTCTGTGAAGGGAAAAAAAGCACCCAACCACATCCAGGGTAAAGTCATAAATTTAAATAGAAAAAAAAAAACCCACCCCAACTCTTGTCTGCATACTTCCTGAAAGCGCCACAGCAGCAACCAGAGGAAGAAGCAGCCACTCCTCTACCAAGTGTTACATTTGAAACAACTGTTTAAAGCAACAAAAGAAACCTAAAACTAAAGAAATATGGCATTTTGTAGGAAGCAGTATTTTAACACAAGCAGCTTAAGGGAATCTTCTTTACAGAACTGATGATACCAGGAAATGTTCATCTCTGGCACAGTTTTCAATGGAAAGGAGGTAAGCATTATCAATTAACTTCATCATAGATTACCAGAAAGATGCTTTACTAAAATTTGGAGGCACGGTTTAATTTTAATAACATCTGCATTACTGAGACAATGATGGTGAAAGACTTGGAATGGATTATGCTGTCATTTTTCCACATTATTATTTATTATCAACAATGTTTTACCTTAAAGCAAATATTCATTCCTATTTAAGGAAATGTTAGTATGACAAATAATAAATAGATTTAGGATTTTTTTATCATTGTTGGTATGGGTTGTTGAGTTGCCTGTGACTCATAGCAACCCTATGCACAATAAGCTCTGATATAGTTTCAATGACACTGTTTCATGAGATGTATTTAGTCACTATAAGAGGGGAGAAAATTCCCTAGCTAATCATGGAACAACCTCAAACTTTTAAAAAGCTAATCTGAAAGGCTGTAACTTTTCAGTACTCTCCAAAAAATGCTGGAGTCCATACAGAGCACAATCTATATTGGTTATTCCTTTAAAGCACAGTATGATTCATCTTTTTTTCCAACTTTAGCAAATGAATGCAAGTTTGGGGGAAAATCATGCAGCATGCAAAGTAGTGTCAGGTTCAAGTGGAAGAAACGAGATTCACTAAAACATAGTTTGAAAGTATACATATGTGACAAAATAGAAGGAGTCTTGATACAATATTAAAAGACAGGAAAATGAATATAAAGTTTAATTCACATTTTAATTACTATTATTAAACAATTAAGAGTGAAAATATGCACCAACACTGAATTTTTTCCCTTATCTGCATGACACTGGAGATTTTGTTCTTTTGTATGTTTTTTTATCATTTGTTAGAAATTAATATTGTAGTTATGCACCTACCTGGATATTATAATTAATATAGGTTTTTAAATATATAGAATTGTATTCCCAAGTCATGTTTGTCCTAAATATTTGGCAAACTAGGCAAGGAAAAGAGGAAGGAAGGGAGAAAGGAGGAGAGGAAAAGAGAGGGGGAAAAAACCTCTCCTATCATGTGTTGGTCCATGGCAACTGCTCAAATTAATTCTTTTTTTTAATTAAATTTTATTAATTTTAATGAACATTTACAGAGATTTGGGGTTTTCATTCATTCATTGTTGCACTATTTTCTCTACCCTCCTCCCCAGTTCGTTCACTTTTTTCCCCCCCTTGAAAGTCTGTTTTAACTGTCCAATTGCCACAGTGCTTGTCAAAGCCAGTTCTGATTAATCTCCTTTGTCAGTGTTCAAATTAATTCTTAATGACAACAGAGCATGAGGCCACAGATCATGACTGTGAGTATCCCTCCCAGACTTGAGTTAAACGAGATTCAGGGCTAAACTAGACCACCCACTCTGCTAAGTGACATTTCTAGAGGAAACTTTTCTTACACCTCCATATTTCACGGAGATGCCACAAGGTTCCATATCTTTGTACTGAGTCTACTTCAGAAAACTTCGTTGTTGCATCATGGTTAACACTAAGAGGGCAATGATATTTATAATCAAAATGCAACTCCTTTCCATTAAAAGTGGTTATTTTTGCAATAGTTCCTGTATGCACATCAGTGATTTCTTAATATTTTACCTCTTTTAAAATTTAAGGAGACAACAACATAACATGTATGTTTCTGTATCTAAAAAGAATAGGGTAAAAAGTTACTATATTGGCAATATATTGTTTTCAAGGTCCTTAAAAATTCTTGTTTTCTGTGCACCCCCTGCAGCAGATGAAATCAGCTTCTATGTTCTGGGTAAAGATAATGTGGAAGACCAGGCATAAGGTGCTCCCAAGTGCATCATAAAATAAAAGCTACTCGGCTACGGTTCCCAAGGGTCAAGGTCTCAATCTATAGAGAGTGGGGCAAATAGTTATTTAACATAGTTGTATAAACCTATTATATTTAATGAGAACAAAAGAGAGTTTGTCACTTTAAAAATGGTTAATGGCTAAGTACGCAAATCCCCTTTCCAAATATTCCTTCCTTTTTACTCCATCAATTCAGCAATCAGGAATACACAAACATGTTACTTCACTTTACTTAATTACTGAATATTTTTTTACAGAAATCTTCACTTGAGTGTATGACTCTTTTATTACTTGTCTAGTATATATATATATATATATATATATATATATTAAAAATTGTATTTCATGAGAAGAATTCATCAACAATACTAATATTGGTTACAATAAGTGTTTCCTCAGAATGTACATTATAAAAAGTAGCAAAGCGTTTTCTAGAAATCTTAATTTAGAGTGTTTTTTTCTCGAATTAGATATTACTAACAAGATCTAGGAAATATATTCCTTACAAGTATATTGACTCTCAACAATAAACGGTTACAAAATTTAAATTCACTGACATGCCAGGATGAATGTGAAAATGTTAAGCATTTCTGGTTTTCTTAAGTTTTAATAAAATAAATTTAATTTTTTTTATCAGTTACATTCTAAAGTGAAACCAGTATTACATTTTTTCTTCACTGTAGCAACTGTATATATAACTTGGTTTGTATCTATCTTGATGCAAACTAAAAAAAAGGCCAATTTGGTCAATGCTTTTTGCATCACAAGTGCAAAAGGCAACATACTAGAAATAAGACATGTCAACACAATAAAAACTGTGACAATGACACAGCGTTAAGTCTCTGAATATCATGCGGAGCACTGCTTTCACTATGTCCCAAAGACTGCTATATTCTGACCAGTTTTAGATTTTTCTACAACTCACTGTTTTGTTTTTTTTTACAATACTTCCATTATTTTGTGTCCTAAAACTGTTGTATACTTGAGAACGGTCAGTGTGCAGTGGTACAGAACATGGGAGGTGCTGTTACACAGTTACGGACTACAAATGAGTTAGGTCCAACTGGTTAACTGTTAGTCTTCTGCATATCGACTCAATACTCTAAAAGAGTTGTTGTTTGTTGTGGTTATGTGCTGTCGAGTCACTTGCGACTCATAGCGACCCTATGTACAACAGCCCTAAACTCCACTCTGTCCTGTGCCAATCACACTGTCTCTGACACTCCCATCCCGATTACCCAAGTCATTGAAGCAATCCACCTCACTGAGGGCCTTTCCCTCCTGCGCTGTCCCTCCACCCTCCCAAGCATGATGTCCTTCTCCAAGGACATGTCTCTCCTCACAACATGTCCAAAGTATGTTAAACGCAGCCTCAGAATACTTGCCTCCAAGGAGCCACCCGGTTTAACCCTTTCCAGGATGAATCTGTTTGTTTTCCTAGCAGTCCATGGTATTCTCAATACTCTTTTCCAGCACCACAGCACAAAGGCATTAATTCTCCTTCTATCCTCCTTAGTCACTGTCCAACTCTCTGATGCATAACAAGTGATTTTAAAGACCATGGCCTGTATCAGGCGCACCTTAGTCTCCAGAGAAACACCACTGTTCTTCAGTACTTTGGAGAGGTCCCTAACAACAGACTTTCCCATGGCAATACGCCTTTTAATTCCCTGGCTACTGGTGCTGAGAGAGCTGACCGTGAAGCCAAGCAAACTAAAGCTGTGAACAATCTCAATTTATATTTTAACATGTGACGACTTTTTCTGTTTTTCTTAACATTTGTTTTCAGTTGCCAAGTATCATGCCTACTAATAAGATACGATGACCACTCCTAACAACCAGGATCTCCCTGTGGCTTTCCACAGTCCATACCCAGATGAATATAAAATCGCTGCCCTCGTCTTCTACAGCTGTGTCTTCACAATTGGATTATTTGTTAACGTCACTGCATTATGGGTGTTCAGCTGCACCACCAAGAAGAGAACGACTGTAACTATCTACATGATGAATGTGGCATTACTGGACTTAATATTCATACTGAGCTTACCATTCCGGATGTTTTATTATGCAAAAGGCAAGTGGCCATTTGGAGAAGACTTCTGCCACGTTATTGGTGCTCTCACGATATTTTACCCAAGTATTGCTCTATGGCTTTTCGCTCTTATTAGTGCTGACAGATACATGGCTATCGTACAGCCAAAATACGCCAAGGAACTGAAAAACACATGCAAAGCTGTGCTCGCATGCCTGGGAGTCTGGGTAATGACTTTGATGACCACTACCCCTCTTTTATTTTTATATGAAGACCCGGATAAAGGCTCCAAGCCCGCCACCTGTCTGAAGATTACCGACATTATCCACTTAAAAACCACCAACATGCTGAACTTCACTCGGCTGGTCCTTTTCTTCCTGCTTCCTCTGTTCATCATGATTGGCTGCTACTTGGTCATTATTCATAGTCTCCTTCGCGGCCGGACGTCTAAGTTGAAGCCCAAAGTCAAGGAGAAGTCGATCAGGATCATCATCACGCTCATGGTCCAAGTGCTCGTCTGCTTCACGCCCTTCCACATCTGTTTTGCCTTCTTGATGCTGGCAGGGGGAGAACACAGTTACAGTCCCTGGGGCGCCTTCACCACCTTCCTCATGAACCTCAGCACATGTCTGGACGTGATTCTCTACTACATTGTTTCAAAGCAGTTCCAAGCTCGAGTCATTAGCGTCATGTTGTACCGCAATTATCTTCGGAGTGTGCGAAGGAAGAGTTTTCGATCGGGTAGTTTACGGTCATTAAGCAACATAAATAGTGAAATGCTGTGAATGATAGAAAAGCTTAAAAATCTTCATTTTTTTCAAGCTCCTTAAAATGTACTGTAGGGTCATAATGAAGGATATACTATAGGATATTACAAAGGCCTTTCTCTCCTTGAAAAAAAAATTTAAAAAAAAATACTTTCTGTGGGATTTTATTGGTTGCAGCAATATTCATTTAAGGAATAAACTGTTTCGCTTTTTAAAAGTGATTTAAAACACTGCACTGGGGTTAAATCATAAGGGTTTTGAAAAAATAAAATAAACATATTGGAGTTCTTTGAATAAATGTGCTTACTTATTGTGCTCTACTGTCGTACCAAGAACAGAATATTCCAACTTACATACGCAGTTCATCTATAAACTGAGACTAAGAAATGGAATTTGAGGGCACTAACTTGCTCTAGGTTACACCAAGTAAGTGGCAGAAGCAGAATCTCTCCTTTGGTCTCTCACAATAAAGAAAACTGACATAGTCAGTGCTGTATTTTAGAAAAATAATGCCTTAAACAGATTCTCTGGAGACACACAATCAGTATGAAAGAGAGACAGACAGAATAAAAAAAAAACAATCTCAAGGAAATAGTTCACACAGCTGTGGAAGCTTGTAAATTCCAAATCCATGGATCAGGTGTCAGGCATCTCCTGACTGGAGAGTTAACAGGGGCTGATAAGCTCAGAATCAGCAGGTCAGACTGTGTGGGCTTGCTGGCCAGTGTCCACGTAACAAGTGAGAATCAACTGAATCAAGGTGATACTTAACATCAGTCAGCACATTACACTCTTTGCCAACTTGGCATCTGTACACATATTTATCATAAATAATGTATTCACACACACTTACTTGCACCTATGATGACATAACTAATGTGTGCAACCAAAAATGCACTAGCTACCACTTATGTCTTAAATTTTACAAGTAATGGGATAGGAGAGGGAAGGAAACAAATATTAGGTACTTAGATATGCAGCAGATAATGTACAACCAAACATACATTTTGTTAAATAAAACAAGGAAGAAATATGACGATTAGTCTGTCTTTCTGTGCCTGGTTACATAGTCATAGCTGGTATTTAGAGCTCATTTCCTCTACTGTCCATTTTGCATTCCTTTTTTCTCAATAAGGACTGCAGCTGGTGAGAGCTCACTGCTTGAAGGGGGTAGGTCACTAGTAGTCACATCAGAACGAGATGGCCACAGTTTTCCCTTGACTTGAATCACAACTCATGGTGATACGAAGAGATCTCTAAGAGATCTTTGTATTCTAGAAACATTCTTTTCCACTTCTATCAAATAGTATCAATCAGGTTCTCCTTTGGCAATCAAGATCAATCATACCAGCCAATACGTTAACTTCCTTCTTTGTTGATTCAAAGGTATGAGGACCTCAAAGTGAACTGGGTGGTATTTTTCATTTCCATTTCAATGAAATTAGGGTTGTCATTCTTCATTTTTGGAACTTTTAAGACCTCTAGATCCATCAAACACAGGGTTGTACGAACATAGAGAAAAATTTTGAAAGTGGATCACTAGAGTAATACGGACTGATGTCACTCCCATTTCTACTTCTCGAGTCCTAGACACACAAAACCTGCCCCTGGGAGAAACAGAACCATATACCAGATGCTGCTTTAGAGCATATATAGTTCCCAGAGACACTGCCCCAATCCTGCAAGGTCTGTACATCACAATTGCGACGTTAAAGGAACATTTCATTGCTTTATTAAGTCAGCTGCTTCAAGATGAACACGGCATGGGCACACTGCTACACGACATCTGCTGTGAAGTGATGTAATGCTGAATGAGATACCATGACAGTGGATAATGTATTTTGTAAGTCCATGGATGGTAGTTTTGCAGAAGAACTGCATCCAGTAATGATGAATTTATATCCAACCTAAATGACTTTCCCAGTATAAACAAATGGCTGTCCCTTCCATGATTTAAGTATTACGATGTAACTAACCTGACATCAGGTTGCTGACTGACTGCCCCTAAGAATGGTGCCATTACAAAGTGAGTTCGGTTTTATTCTCTGCTGCTGGCGACCAGGCGCTCTGCAGTGACTGTAGCCTAAGTTGCTGAGACCATGCATAACCTCCATGCCTTCCACCATGGCCATTTTTAATTATTGGTGGTGGTATTATGTGCCATCAAGTTGCTTGTTGACTTATCATGACTCTGTGTAATATAACCCTGAACCCTGCTCTATCCTATGCCAACATCATTATCTCTGACTTCAGAAGTTGATGGTCAGTCCTTTCCAGTCTGTTTCAATTACTAGTCCCCTGAACAATGACCAGGGTGGCTGGTGAAGAAGGCTGACTGATTCTCACAGAAGATGTCGTCATATCCACTTTGTTAAAATCATCCTCTGCCAGAATAATCCCTTGGTGACATGAGAGAAGGCCCTCTATGAGGTGGACTGATTCAGTGACTGGGATAATTGGGATGGGAGTGTCGGAGACAGTGCGACTGGCACAGGACAGAGTTTAGGGCTGTTGTACATAGGGTCGCTATGAGTCGCAGGCGACTCAATGGCACATAACAACAACATTTGGTCCATTCGGATGGGTCTAGGCACATACTCCTTCCCTATGCTCCTTGTCTTCTTCAATTTTCCAATCATGTTCTTTCAGAGTTCCTGACCATCCAAATATCCCACTGGCCACAGCAGAAGAATCAGTATACAACTGTTCATGGTTCTACACACTAGGGGGATCTCCCTTCACAAGTGTCCATCTGAGAGATCCCAGAAAGAGACTGCGGTCCTGCTAAAGACTGAATACTACCTGAATAAGATGCAGAACCATCTGTAAACTAGGCATACATCTTCTCTTTACTCAGTCAAGAAACATCCTATGAATATAAGTGCAGACTGAGAGGAGAAAGAATATGACATTAAGTAGGGGGTCGTGGGCACTGGGACAACTTATTTCTGACTTTCAGATCCTGCTATAGACCAATCTCCAATACACTGCTGAAATTAACTGAGTGCTTCTACACACATATAGACTCTGTGGGTCAGATAACTCAGGTTATTATAAGTAACTTGGTGGCTGGTAGTTAAGCATTCAATTTCAATTAAGGTCCAGGCCATGGTCTTTGTAATTATTTGTTATGCATCAGAGAGATGGACAATGACTAAGGATGACAGAAGAACAATCAATGCTTTTGAGCTGTGGTGCTGGAGAAGAGTATTAAACATACCATGGATCATCAAGAGAACAAACTGGTTTGTTTTGGAGAGGGGGAAACCAAGTTTATTTTTGGAGGCTAGGATTCAGAGATCTGTCTGATACTTTGGGTACATGGCCAGGAGGGACGAGTCAGTGATGAAGGACATCATGCTCAGAAGTTTGGTGGGACAGCACGGACAAGGAAGATCCTGGATGAGATGGACTGACACAGTCACTAGGTTACGGGGGGACAGATATGTTGGAGGTGGTGAGACTGGCTTAGGACAGGGCAGGCTTCAGAGCTATCCATCATAGGTGACTTAATGGCACATAACAACAAGAAGCCAAAAGTTGTTACCCAAAAGGCAAATTGTTATCTACAGAGGATGGCAGAGATTTGCTGAAATATCATATAGGTATAAACTATCATTCACCAACAGGGGCCTGTCAAAGTCTCCAAACACTATCTCTATCTGCCATGGACACTTAAAAAATTACTGAATCAATCAGATCATAGTATGGCAGCCTGCAAGGCAGACTGGACTCATTTTATAACATTCTCCTGTTCAGGGCTCTACTCAAAACTATCAGCCTTTCAAATCATATCTTATAGGCTGGCATAATACACAGATGAGAGACATGGTGTCTTCAAAATCCAAAGAGGTCTATTAGACATTGTGTTTCCTTTTTAGTTGTGGGAGACGTCACAGGTACTAACTTATGTTTCACTTTGGAAGGAATATTTGAACATGGTCAAACCACTGGAATCTGGAATCCTAGAAATCCCACTGACGTGGAAAGGACCTGCATTTCTATCAGATCAATTCCCCAGTCTAGCATGCAAATGTTTTACCAATATGTCTGGAATGACTGACACTACTTTATTATGAAGTCCGATCAGTATTACATCATCAATATAACCAGTGTGACATCCTGTGTGAAAGGGAAGACAAGTGATGTGGTTTTGGACTAAGCTATGACATATGGTGGGAGAGCTACTATATCCTTGAGGTAGGACACCAAAGGTGTACTGCTGGTCTTGCTGGCTGAAGGCAAACTACTTCTGGTTTTCTTTTGAGATAAGTATTAGCCAGATCAACAGCTGCATTTCAGGTACCAGGAGGTGATTTAATTTGCTCAAGCAATGAAACCACCAGCTGCAACTGGAGTCACAACACCTGGTTTAATCTACAATATTCCAGTCTTGTTTTTAAAGATCCCTTTGGTTTTTTTGTACAAGGCACAATGTCATGTGCTGTTGAGTTGACTGCAATTAATAGTAACCCCATGCATAATAGCTCTGAACCTTGTCCTATATTAAGCCAATCTGTCTCTGACACATCTATCCCCATTACCCCAATTACTGTGTCAAGCCATCTCAGCCAGGGTCTTTCTCTCCTATGTTGTCCTTCCACCCTTTCAAGCATGATGTTCTTATCCCAGGTCTGGTCCCTCCGGGCAACATGCCCAAAGTACAGCTCTGACTCTGCACATCAGTGATCCAGTGTGAATATTCTGTCAGCTGCTAAATATGCCTACTCCAATTATGCATTCTGGTACTAGGGAAATCACGACAGGATGGGCTCAGAGACTCTCTGGACCCACTGTGGAATAGACATGAGCTTAAAATCCAATAATAACCTTAACAATCTGACCTCCACACACTTCTACTCTGACTGCCGTGCTGTGCTGACATTCTGTTTCCTTGATGTTGTGTTCTGTACTCTGCATTCCATTGGTGGGTGGATCTGTGGGTCCAACTTTATAAATCCATGTTAACATAAGGCAAAAATAATTTTTTAGTATTATTATAACAAAGTAGATTAAAA